GAACCAGGTTAATTCCCAAAGAGCTTTGGGCCCCTCAGTGGGAGAAAAGGTGAAACTCATCTGCAGTTGCTTGAGTATGCTGCTGCTTGCCTGTGTGGTATGATGATCTGCTAGTGTGATCCTGGTTTTATTTTATTTGCTTCTGCTGTTCTTATGCGAAGGAATTTTATTCCTGCAGCTTTGAGACCTATTGCTTGCTGTACATGACAATGCAAGCTGTTACTTGTGTGTGTCTGAAGAACCTCTAAATAGAGCTCTGTTCCCACAGAGGGCATGTAACTTGTATTTGCCAGTAACTATAGATTTTTCTAGCAGCATGGTGAAATCCTACTGGCTTCTCCCAAAACTTGCAGTATTGGTAAAATTCATATTCTTAGAGCAAGCAGGAGGCTGCTCAGTGTGCAGTATGACATGTTCTTTCATCGATGACCACAGGAGGGTGGTTTTGCTTACTTTTCTGCCTACTTAATAACGAGCAGGCATCGTTCAGCAGTTGCTTTCTGCAGAGGTGAAACCATGCAGTAGAAACACAGAATCCTGATCTGGAGGCTTCTGCCCTAGTCACTCTCCCTAACTTGGTAAATTCATTGCTTTGCCTCATCAGTGCTTGGATCACAATGGTACTGGACATGGGGAGATGTTGTTCTGCTACCAAATAAGAGAGTGCTCTGGTTATGATATGAGTTCACATGGTTCAAGGAGTTTGTACATATGAGTGATTTTACTTGAGACAACTTATTTCAAATTGGTTTGATTTCTGGACACTGTACTGGTCATGCATGCCTGACTGTTGGAGAGTGGCAAAGCCTCCTTAGCTACTGTATGGACAATGTGATCTTTCCTTAGGACTTTGCTTTCTGCTTCCTTGCAGCTGGCCCGGATTCAGACTGACAGCGTAGTCAAGATGCTCCAAGAGCTATACCCTGACCTCTGCTTTGAGATAGGTAAGTTGTTTTGGATGCTGCCCTGGGGCAGACAGCAGCAGGAGCCAGTGGGTTATCTTCGTGTACACAACAGGTGTGTGTGGAGTCGGGAGGAGGATTTGACCCTGCTTATCTGAGAATTCAGTTTGGTTGCATGGCTGAGCAGCTGCTGCTGCTGCTGGTCTCTTCTAGGGGAAAAGGATGGACTTTATAAGCTCTTGATGATGGAAGTGCTGAGTATGTGATGCAGATGGTGTTACGTTGCTCCATTTGTGAACCTGCTACCATTCTGTCTGCACCCCGCTGAACATTAGGGACATTTTTTTCTGGGGCTCAAGGCTTTCAACGGGAATAACGGGAACTCAGCCTTGCACTGTAGAGAACTTGTGCATACGTGTTTACTGGCACTCTAGAGACAGACTGTGGCAGTTTCCATTGGGTCAGCTCTTCCCCAAGCTGGTGCACTTTCCGTTTGCTTTGCTTTTGGGGACAAGTGAAGGAAGTCTCAATTTCACTAGTCTTGAGTGCAGTGTTTCTAGAAGTGAGTGGCTCTCCTGCTTAGTTTGAGTCTGTGTTCAGGCAGTAGTGTGACACTGCTCTGCATGCAGCATTTTACATAGATGTTTTCAGCCTAAGCCCATGTTTTACCTGTACTGTCTCTGAGCAGTTGCCATGTCAACAACTGGAGACAAAATCTTGGATACAGCACTTTCTAAGGTAAAGGATCTCTTCTTCCTCTATACTAGAACTAATTGTATTTGATGATATATTGGCTAATGCTTCTTTTGTGATCTGTGTTCCTCCATTTATGTTTAGATTGGGGAGAAGAGCCTTTTCACCAAAGAGCTGGAAAATGCACTTGAAAGAAATGAGTAAGAGCCTATTGTTTTCTATTCTTCTTCTGGCATTCAGTGCTCTTTGGACATCTTTGGCTTGCTGCATATGTGATCTGCTTTCCTTCTGTTCTGGTACCTCTCTGGCTAAGAAAGAAATCCTATGATAAGTCACTGTCCTTTTTTTTTTTAATTTTCTTTTCTCTTTCTACCCTGGGTTTAGACCATGTATTTTGAAGTGGAGTTGTTGTGTCACTTGGTCTGCCCTGTTACGCTTTTTTCTTCTGTGATTTGTGTATTACCTGTGCATCTGGAAGGATGTGATCTCATTTGATTCCTGCTTTTGAGTATGTTCTTTTAAAAAGACTTTGCTTGGTGGTGATAACGTATTGCAAAACATATTTATTGTCATCACATTAACATGTATTAACATTTGCAGGCTAAATGTGCAGGAGAATTGGGCATGGACAAGTTGTGCTGCATTCTGTGCAACTTCTCTCTACAGAAAACTTTGGTGCAGGTTCCTGCTGGAGCAGAGAGAGATTAGTGGTGTTTGGTTTTGTGGTTGGTTTTTCTGTTGTTGTTGTTTAATCTTTTCTTTCTTTTTCAATACCATGAGGAGGGTTTCAGTGTTGCCTTAGTTAAAGCAGATTTAAAAACAAAGGTATTCTTCTGCTTCTCTGCTACATAGTTACATCATACTGCATTTTCAGGGAAGCTGGTGAAAAAATACTGGAGACTGGAGCATTTACAATTATGTGTGAATTGCCATGTGATGAAGCAGGTAGCCTGTAGTTTGGCTGGCTGTTATTTTCAGTTTGAAGCGTAATACCAGCCAACATACTGATGCGTATTGATACAGTGAGTCTTTCTGTGTGAACATCTCCACTGTCTTGCCTCATTCAACTTGCTTGTTTATAAAGTGTCTTACATTGCTGCTGGGAGGAAGGCATTGTCTTAAGGGGAAAAAAAGAGTCAGAGAAAGGTGAAGTAGCTTTTTGTGGAGTAACAGTTGAACTCTATAGTAATTCTGGCTACAAAACCGTGAAATTCCTCTCTCTTCTCCAAATTTATTCCCAGGGTGTGTTTAAACTTTTTTTAGGTGATCTGCAGGCCTCTGGTAGGTCACCACATGAGCTCAGCCGCCTGTTCACTGAATGCTCTCCTCTCATTATTAGAGTTGACCTTGTGGTTCACTCCTTGAAGGACCTGCCAACTTCTCTTCCTCCTGGCTTTACCATTGGTGCTGTCTGCAAGTAAGTGTGGACGTGAGGCTCAGTTCTCTGCGGGACTTGCATTTCATAGTGTTGGTAAAGGAGAGCAAAGGCAGCTTAGGTCCTTCTCTGTGTTCAAAGTTCCTTCACCCTCTGATTAATTTCCAAAACAGTGGAAACACCAGAGTTGCCCTAGTGTTCCCTAGCCAGGGGGTATGCTGGAAATTCTTGTGTTTACAGTGATGGTGGAGTATTTTGGAGACAGAGGCAATTCCTCCGGGGACTGATAGCAGAACTGTTGAGCTTAACAGCCTTCCCTTAAATGATGCTCTGCGCTTGCATTATTTTGCAGAAGGGAAAACCCACTTGATGCTGTTGTCTTTCACCCCAAGAACTGTGGAAAAACACTGAGCCA